GCAGCAGGCAGGGTGTAGAGCGGGGAGGAAAGCTGGCATTCAGATCTGAGAGCCAGAATGCAGCTGTGGAGCCCTCTGCAATGTGTCTGTCTTTTAATCCCTTTGAATCTGATCCTGCAAGATGCCAGCCTCCTTGAAGGGGAGGGGAGAGGTGGGACGAAGTGCCCTCCCTTCCCAGTGATTTCCAGCACTGCCAAAATTACTTGCTCATCCTATCATGATAGGATGGGCGGGCAATTTGAGGCGGGAGCATCACACTTTACTGCTGCTTCTGCCCAGCAACATCCCAAATATAAAGAGCCCTGTGTCAGGCTCAATTCAAAGGATTATTTTTTGGTGTATTCTTTGAATATTGCACCGATGTCTATTTGCCAGGCAGGGCAATGATGTCTGACAGAGGGGAGACACAGGTTTTTTTTATTGCAGGGATAAATGTGAGAATTTACTGGTCATACCTGAGCTGGAAGGTGAAAATTTAAAAGTCATAATAACATGTGTGTTATTAGGATTTGGGATCAAAGGAGCCCTTTGGCAGTAAATGACTGGTTTGAACTGAATATTCCTGAAGTCAGAGGCTGGTGGCTGTCCCCCTTTTGTCAGGTCCCTGCAATACAGCAAACGAGCCGGCGGTCCCAGGCCTTCTTCCTGGTTGGCACACGTTGGTGTGAGCTTTTTAGCAACTGCAGAAAGGTCAGGGACCAGAGAGGATGAAGGGCCAGATTTTTGAAGATGTTTTAGAGACCTAAAAATGCCATCAGCTTCATCACGGGGCTGCAGAAAGTACCTCATTTCTGAAGGCAGTGAAAGTCCCACCATTTGCATAGTCATGTGCTGCTGTGGTTGGTGAGTCTGGCCCCTACTTCTCTGCACCCCAAGACTCAGTCCTGGGTAGTGGGAAGCAGCATATGATCACAGTGGTTTTGGAGGCTTGTGTTGCTGGTTTTACCTTTGCTGCAGTGAACCCCGGATAAAGAAAAGAGGTCAGTGCCTCAAGCTCTAAGCCAGTATCCTCTCATGAGTTTTAAATTTATTAGACGAAATAAATAGAAAAATACTGGGTTGGGAGACATAGTGAGGTTTAAAGTGCCTTACAGAGAGACACCGGACTTTTGCATGAAAAATGCACATCCTGAACTCCAGTGAGCAATCCCTGTGGGACCAGAGCAAGCCCAGATGGTGACTCCTCCAAGTGATTATTTTTCTGCCTTAAGCCTTTCCAGGAATTTGAGTGTGGGCAGGCTGCCAGCGGACACTGGCTGTCCAGACACTTTAGCAATGTTCCATGTGTACTTGCTGCCAGAGATACCAAAGTCCAGCTGCTGTCCCTGATCTCTTTGTCCTCTTTACCTTCCCAGCCGTAATTACACACTCGTGCACGCACGCACGCACTTGTGTCACACACACACGTACAAAGCAGGAGCATAACAATCACCTGGTGTTTGCTGCTCATGATCAGCTGCTCTGCAGTTAAAGAGAAAGGAAATCTTGAGAGGCGGAAAAAGTACTCCGATCCAAAAAAGAGAGTGTACGAATAGCAAACCCTGCGGCACACAGCAGAAGGCAGGCGTTTGTCTTTCTAGGCCAGCAAAGAAGAGTTTAACCAGCTCTTGCATCTCTTGTCTTTGAGACATTCTGTTTAGGTCATCTCCCTGAGCAAAATCAGTCCTGTCTTATCTTTGCTGGAACTTGAATTATGCTGAAAACATACCACTTTACTCTTAAGTCTTGAAGTAGAAGTAGGCTGTTTGATGCTGCACATTTGCATTTTTGCAAATCCAGTCCTGTGTCTGTTAGAGTTCAGAGTCTCAACGTCAAGTACTTGGGGTTGGAAAAGTGTGGCAATCTGCACCGCTCTGTAGTTGACTCATCCCTTGTCTCCATTAAGCTTGCTCATTCCCCCTGTGCACTGCAGGAGATTTTGGGCAGCCCTTTTGCTACTGTGATGATGAAGTCAGCCATATGAAAGATTCACACAAAAAAAAAAAAAAACCCCAAACCCAAAATATTTAATATTTTATATTTTTGAAGTATGTTAGCTTTGACTTGGAAGCTACCCAAAACTCAGTGGTTTGATGCTATTTAGCAGAACAAAACCTTTGCTTCAGCTCCTGCAGAGTGAAACTTTACCAGGTTTCAACCCAATCTAGTGGAAGGTGTATCTGCCCATGGTCGGGGGGTTGGAACTAGATGATCCCTTCCAACCCAAACCATTCTACGATTCATAGAGCTTCATAGTAGTACTTCTGATGCAGAGAAGCTGAGCCCAGATGCCTTAGGCTTTTGGAAGAACTAGTTTTGGGGAGCCTGGTTTATCTGTCACAGCAAAAGAAAGTGTCCCTATTTGGCCCTATGTATAAACTCCCTGCTCTGTTTCAGGCTGAGAGAGCAGGCTTCTGCTCCCTGCTTTTTCCCATGGGAGTGTATTTAAACTCCAGTTTTGCACCTTATGTCCATCTCCACATGAGATTGAAGGATGGTCTGAGCCCGTGGCAAGGGGAGCAGGACAAGTGCCTCGCACTGAGGGCATCCCCCCGCAGCACCTGCAGGCAGGTGCCTCGGCCAGGAGCTGCTGACTTACCTGCCAAAGCCAAGTGGCCAGGGCAGCCAGGGCTACAGTGAGCTAAAGTTAACCAAGGATGACTGCGCAAATGTGAGCTCGGCGATTTTATTTTTAGTCGAACTTAAAAATAAAAATCTGTAAGTCATGTGTAATATAATAATTTTAGTTGTTGCCAAGACACGCTGAGCAACTGTTAGGAGGAGGGGGAAGACCTGTGCTGATACAGCAGGGACCCTGCCTTCTGGCTGCCCTCGTCCAGTCACAGTCACAGCACCAAGGCCACAGTGCTGGCAGGTCGGGGCAGGATGGGGTAACAGTGCTGAGCAACTGCTTGGTGGGTGCCATGCTCAAGGCATCGCTGGCTCTTGCTCTTTGGAAGCTGCCTCAAGTCCATTTGTCCTTCCTTTCATCTCAAAGCCAAGAATCCACCCCAAAACAGTGCTTTACTAGTCCCCTCCCCAGCTCTGTGGCTGTTGGTGTTTTATTGCTGTTTATCAATACTTAAACAATGGAATAATTAACTTAAGACTAATTGTATCAAAGCGTCAGAAGATCTGGCCTTTTCCTGCAGGCTTACAGCAGCTTGGAGGACCATAAACATAAAGAGTGCTCTTAAAGATAGGTTTAAACTTAGCCTAGTATGTCTTCAAAGTACTGCATACGCATATAAACATCAGGCTTATTGTTCATTAGAAGCAAGGCAGCAGGGAAAGAAATCCCCCAAAGGAATATTACTTGCCATAAGATAAGTATCATTACTGCTGCTCAGCATTCACTTTAAAGTGGGCTATATCCTATTTCCATCTCCTTTCACATCCACTCTGACTTCTTTGTCTACCATTTTTCTTTCATGTAATGCATGCTTTTCTTGTTAGGATGCTGGTCATGTGGCGTGTGCGGTTTCTCAGCACCCATTCTTGCACATCTTTTAAAACAGTCAGAAACGCAGACGACAAGGGGTGGCTGGGGAAGAGTTTCATTATCCATGAAGTCTGTTATGGGACAAGGCTAGGTAGGTTTCAGGAAGGTAGGGGGAGACTGTGAGCTTTGCTTTTTTCCCAAGCATGATGTGGTTTAGTTAGGGCATTTTCCTTAGCAGATAATGGAAGAATCAGGAAGACTTCATTGCCTTTGGGTGAATTAAGTGATGCAGAGTAGCGAATGCAACTGTTTTGCTCCAATGGCAAAATTAGACCAATATAAAATTGTGAACTTTTACAGTGGTGAGGGCTCCTGGTTTGGATCAGGAAACCCAAATGTGCTTTTCCAAGCGCTCCTGGTGAGGCATCCACAGGGCCGAGTTTGCTCAGCATTTGGACATGTGGCTGTGGCTGTGAGGTGGTATCTGCAGCCTCCACCGTCAAAAACACGGTCTGAAACAGGGGGATCGTATCCCACCAGAGATGCAGATGGTGCTGGCACCTGGCTCTGGCCAACCTGTGTGCAGCAGGGAGCATCTTTCAGTGCAGAGTCCTGCCTGGACCCCTGCATGTGAGGTGTCAGTAGCAGGGGGAGTTCAAAGTGCTGGGGAAGAAAACCCAACCCACACATGAAAAACCTGGCTCAGAGCCATCTCTGGCTCTGGGCTGCTGCTGTAAATAGATCGTGTGGTTCATTGCCAGGCTGATAGATGAAGGGCACATGTGCCCCTGAATGAGCCGTGGTGTGGAGGGGGGATAGGGGCAGCTGCTGCCTCTGCAGCCCTGCCCGGTGTGACGTGAAGTCACCCTGCGGGTGACTCGGGGGTTCAGGAGGGATCTACCACCTTCCCTCTGCACCACTAATAGCTACTTGTTGCTAACGTAAATATTTAGTGTGTGCCTGTTCCTCAGGGCTCCTTGCCATGCTCCCGTGCTTTTTAGGACACGTCAGGGTGAAGGCAATGTCATTGTTGCAGGGAAAGAAGAGTCTGGAAGAGTGAACCGGGCACCTTAGAGACTGGGAGAGAAAGAAGAAAGTGAACCTTGGGAAAATTAGCAAATGAACCTTGCTAAATGTGGCAAGTTATGGACAGAGAGTTTCTGATCTGCCTAAAGCTTTAATTGTTTTCCTGATGCTTTAGCAGACATATCCATCACTTTAAAGATTTTTCACTGCTGTTTGCAGCGCAGCTGTCAACTGTTCCTTCACATAAGAGAGGCAATGCCTGCTCTTTGTGGGGTTTTTTGCCTGAGGAATTTTTTTTCTCATTTGCCATTTTGGGGTGTCTGCTCATTCATTCTCATTTCTCAGTGCTGTTAACGTGACTCTCCCCCTCCCTTACCTGCCCTGTCGTTGCAGAATCCAGAGGACCTGTCGGAGGATCGTGCTCACGGGGAGATGATTCCTCATGAAGTCACTGGATCCCTTGCAGAAATCAAATGTGACTTTCCGTTTATCAGACTGAAATCAGAGCCAGCCAGACAGTGAAGCAAGCACAGTGGAGGGGGGACGGCGAAAGATGAAATCCACCCAAGAGCGGAGCAATGAATGCCTGCCACCTAAGAAGCGAGAAATCCCTGCCACCAGCCTGCCTTCGGAGGTGAAGCCGGTCCTGCCAAACGAAAACCACCGTGCGGATAACCTAGCATGGCTCCCCAGCACCCCCAGCAGCCAGGGCGGCCTGGGGAGCCGGCACCGGCCTGGGGGGACGTCGTCGGTGGAGGCGGGCTTGCAGCAGGGTTTGCACAAGTCCCTGTCTGCAGGCCTGGACTATTCCCCGCCAAGCGCACCCAGGTCTGTGCCAGCCTCCACCACCCTTCCCACGGTGTACTCGCCTGCCCTCTCCCAGTCAGGGACCCCCGTTTCCCCCGTGCAGTACACGCACCTGCAACACACCTTCCAGTTTGTTGGGCCCCAGTACAGCGGGTCGTACACCGGATTCATCCCCTCACAGCTGATTTCCCCAACAGCCAATTGGGCCGTTGCAACCACTCCATCCCAGCGCTCCCAGCTGGAGGCTTATTCCACTTTGCTGGCCAGCATGAGCGGCTTAAGCCAGCAGGGGCACAAAGTTGAGCCGCACCTGGTCAGGACACCTGGACTGATCGCCGCTGGGTCTCCTCCACCCACCCAGCAGAACCAGTACGTCCACATTTCCAGCTCTTCCCAGAGCACTGTCAGAAATGTCTCTCCTCCAACCATCCCGGTCCCTCTGCACCCCCATCAGACAGTGATCCCTCACACCCTCACACTCGGCCCTTCCTCCCAAGTAGTGGTGCAGTACACCGACTCGGGGGGCCACTTCGTCACCAGGGATCCCCCCAAGAAGCCTGAGAGCAGCCGGCTGCAGGCGATGCAGGCCAAGGAGGTACTGAACGGCGAGATCGAGAAGAGCCGGAGGTACGGCATTTCTCCCTCTGCCGACATGGGTCTAGTCAAAGCAGGCAATAAACCAGCTCCCCATCATTACGAGACCAGGCACGTGGTAGTCCACTCGAGCCCCGCTGAGTACGGCACGCGGGATTCCTCAGGTGTCCGAGCCTCCGTCATGGTAGTCCCCAACAGCAGCACACCCACAGCGGACATGGAGGTGCAGCAGGCCACCAACCGCGACACCTCTCCATCAGCCCTGAACGACAAGGGAAGCTTGCACTTAGGAAAGCCAGCCCATCGGTCCTACGCCTTGTCTCCGCAGCAGGCTCTGGGCCACGAGGGGGTGAAGGCGGTGGCCACGCTGTCCCCTCACA